CAATGGAATATTGGTGGAATATTTCGGCTAGACCGAGGTTAAGACCGGCTCGACGGTTTAGTTCGACTATACCCATTATTATACGGTAAGAATTGGTGGAAAGCTGAGTTGGGCATATTCTGGTTTGTCTTAAAAATTCACAAATCAAGGGTTGAACGGGGAATCTTAGTCCGGTTTCTATTATTGATAGGAGGGTGAAAGGTACATAGCCATGTTTTCCCCATGGAAGGGTATCTTGTTTGGCCAGAATAAGCTGGACGTCGTCAGGGATGTTGTAATCCCTTCGGAATTCGGCCAAGCCACCAGGGGTTTCTACCAAAAACCTATACTTTCCCATTTATTTTTTAAAAGTTATGGATAAATTAGTTCGGTCGCAAAATTGTGCTCAGTAGCTCGGCTGGGCGCGCAGTGGAGTGCCTGGGCAACCTAAGTCTGCAAAGTGGAAAACAAAGGGGTTAAGCACAGGTCATTGGACCGTGCTACAAAATAAAAGCAAGAATAGGAGTCCTACTTCGGGTGTGTGGGATGCTATAGGTTCTATCTCAGTTTCAACAAGATGCTTAGTAGCTTGGATGAAGCAGGCAGTTCGATAGCTCGGTCTTGGCAAAGCGATTCGTTATCTCGGTTAAAGAGAAGGCTCGGTCAGATCGGTTAAGCCTCTAGGGGCAGCTTTCTGAGTTCGGTCTAAAAACTTAGAAAGCTGGCTTAGCCCCAAAGACCTAGCTCGGTCGAAAGAAAAGGTATCAGTATGCTACGTTCAGACTTAGTTCGGTTCGTTTACCTCGACTAAGGTCTATCAAGAGGTGGTTTTGACTTATTGAAACTACTGGTACCAACATGGAGTGTTAATTCGGTTAAAGTCTGATAGAAGGACATTGACTACAAACTACTTTTTAGTTCGGTTATATGGTAATTGTGGATCAAACACTGTTTTATAGATTACTTCATGAAGTTCATAAGGATCTTATGAAGTTTTTCCTAGAAAACGCAAGGTAAAGCAGGAAAATGTGTTTTGCAAAAACACAAACAATATGCTATGAATCAGAACAAAGACGAAAACAAACAAAAAGAGAACAGATTTGTGTTACTTACCAAGATAAGAGGAAGGAAAGAGAAGTAGAAAGCAACCACGGACACGAGCTTTACAGTTGCAAAGTTGGAAGAACAATAGAGGCTCGAAGAGAGAGAGAAGGAAACGAATAGTGGTGTAAGTGATTCAAAAGAGAGTGAAAGAGTTTGTTTTGTGAAAAGAGAAGGGACAAAGGCGGGAACTGTTCAAAAAACACGAGGTACGAAGACGGCGGGGCAGCTGCCTTCAGCCAATGAGAGCATGCCACGTGTCCTTAGGGATAAGAAGCGATTCAGTTGCTGTGATTGAAGAGACGTTTTGACCTGACAAGCAGAGCCCGGTGTGAAATTAGCTCGGCTGGAAAGGCTTACGAGTTTTAGCTCGGCTGGAAAGGCTAAAGGGTTTTTTAGCTCGGCTGGATAGGCTTAAAACTTTAGCTCGGCTGATAGACAGGTAATCCCTATCATGCTGCGCAGATGGAATTAAGGGGCAATTGAGAGGGTAATTTATGTGAAAATTGGGCCGAGCTGGGAAATGGGTCATTATGGCCCACAATACGAAGGGTTGAGTAAAAAGGCCGTAAAGTTACTCTGGCTCGAGAGAGGTACAAAGTTATTCCGGCCCGAGAGAAATGTAATGTTACTCCGGTCTGGAAGCGACTTGGAGTTAGGCCGGTTGGAAGGCGCTTTGAAGTTAGACCGGTCTCAGAGTTAGCCCGGCCATGACGTATTGTGGTTAGACCGGTTAGAACCTTGCTACTCGGTAGCTCGGTCTAGCCACGCCATTCTTTGTACATGAGGAACCGAGATAAGGAGTAGTGAAAAGGAGAACCGAACTAAAGACGGTTCGGTCTACTCTGTGGCTCGGCGTAATCGTAATTACTTCGGTTATATTGGAGTTCGGCCATGATAAAAACTATCTCACTTGGTTTAAGCAGTGAGGGGGGTGTTGAAGGATAAGCATTGTCCTTCAGGAGTATGAATCCTAGGAGGACTCTGCATGGAGAAGTAAAAGTCCTACTAGGATTGTGCCACACGAAACCTATAAAAAGCTTACAAACATCACCTTTGGGGAGGTAACACACAACTTTGCTTTCTGAATACACAGAGCTTTTGTCTATTGGTCAAGCTTACTGACTTAGGCATTGGAGAGGTTTCCGGCACACACCCGCTGGCTAGCTCACGTTTGTGTTTTCAGGTGATAAAGCGACGACGTACAGAGGAGCGCAGACTTGATCAACAGGATTATACGAGAAGGTTTATTTCTTTCCCGTACAGTACACATTAATTCTTTTCAATTCACACACTTAATAAATAAAAAAAATTCTTTAATAATTTTATCCTAGAATAAAAATACCATAATACTCTTTTCTTTATCCACTTAAACCTTAATTCTAAGACACCATAACTATTCTCAATCGCCAACATCACCTGTCTCCTCTACTATCTTCACCCATCGTCTTTTTTCCCTTCCACTTGCTACCACGTTTTTCCATAAACTATACATGGAAAACAAGCCCCTCATCGTGAACCACCCTACTTTTAAGTTGACTGTGGAGGTCTATGATGGAACGGAAAGAGCTGGGGGTAACAATGGTAGTGGCGATGGAAGGCTGAGAGTGGTGGTAACGACAACCAAAGAGGGGTAAGTAAATAAAAGAAAAAATTAGACTCGGTTTGGTTTGCCTTTGGAATCATGATTTCAAGGCAAAATTTTCAAATCACTTTTCAAAATTCATAACCAAATACACAACTCAAAATTACTCAAAACTCAATTCAAAAATTAATTTCAAAACTTATAACTAAACACACAACTCAAAAAAAGAAAAAATCTTTTCAAAACTCTTTTGATGATATAGTGTTGAAGATAATTAGTGATAGGATTGTTAAATTCACTACAAAAAAAAATCAAGATTTAACAGCGGCCAAAACTGCCGCTAAAAGCAGAAAAAAAGTGTCACTAAAAACTAGAAAACCTTTACCCACGGTTGAAATAGCGACGGCCAAACCGCCGCAAGAGGCCCGTCGGCATATCCTTATAGTGACGTTTTCCTCAAACACTGGTATAGTTATTTTTATTGCGACAGCCGATGTAGTTGCAAATGTCGCTATATCTTAAATTTACCCAATACTTGCTAACTTTATAGCGACGGGTTGACTGCTACTATATCCTTGATTTTTGCGACATTTTGTGAACTGCTGCTATATTTTGACTCTATTCCATCAGTTTTACACTGCCGCTATAGCCATAGAATTCTTTATGAATTTTATTTACAGCGACGATTATTAACTGCGGTTATAGGCTATTTCTATTATTCAATTACCAATAATATATAGCTTGAAATTTTTAATGATTTGCTATCCATTAATGGTTGTTTCTCACTTATCCCTACTCACATTATATATCTATATAAACACTATTTTATTCCAATGGCTCAATACTCAATAATTGTAAAAAGTAAAAGAGTCTGTATTTTCATAATCCTAAACTATCCAAAACACCTTAATTAAAGGGTTCATTACATAACCTATAATACAAAATAGACCCAATATTTCTAGCAAGCTAATAGCCCACACCATAATCTAAAACGTACAAATAAACTTGTCATATGACAATAGTACTCAAAAGTATTACTTATGACGCCATTTTATAAAGACCTCCATAAAAAATTTTCAAATCGAGAAATGACGTCCATTGTTTGATGCTTTCATATTGTCTTATTTCCTACAATAAATTGATTGGATGAGCATAAGTATCATTTTCAATTTCAAAAACTATAAAGAAAATTTAGACCACAAATAATTCTCGACAAGTCTTATTTTTTTGGTAAGTATGTGGTTTATGTATCAAAAAATAAAGATTACAATGAAGTTGAAGATCATATTTGCATATTAAGATAGATCAGCCATTAAGAGAGAAACAACAGCAAATGGAAAAAAAAATAAAGTAATGCGGAAGTGTAAGGTGGCTAAAGATTTAAGAAACAAATTTTCTCAATTTGTGCAGTTAGTTCTTCTTGTTGTTCTTTAAGCACTGCAAGTAAATTTCTAAGATTAGATATGGATAAAGACATCTAAAGGGCTTAGAACATGTAAGCAAGCAACTAACAATTATTAATGTCTAGGAAATTATATCTAAATATGTGCCCACCTCGCCTCTGTTATTACTCCTAAGTATAGAACTCTGATGAAGAACACATTCCACAAGGTCTTTTAAGTTTGGATCTTGCTTTCAGCTTCTGTTTTCCCAAGTGGTCTCTCGCCTATTGGTAATCACTAATAGCCTCCTTGCCTCACCTTATTCTCAATCTCTCATAGTCAGCGTATCACTCAAGAAGAGGATTATATTATGAAAGAACAACGGTTTTGAAAATGGACTTTTATTCATATACTACAAACACAAACATTACAATTGAAAGACTCTTACAACGGATGTTCTTTTTTTTTGTAAATGAAAAGAAGTTATTACTCATGCTATATGTAATACTCTCTATTTTTCAATGTGCCCTTGAACATAAGACTCTCCTTCCTTATATATCCTATGGGCAGACTCCAAAGCTCGGATGTTAAACATATCCGAATAAAATATAAGATGCCAACAAGTTGGCATTTGGACTAAATCAGCCAATAAAGCCAAACATTAGTAACAACCACTAAATCAAGCAACCAATAATAGCATCCAAGGGTCTATTTTTCAATTGTATATTACAGTTTGATCCATTGCTGATATTCAAATTTGTTCGATTGCCCAATTCTCTATTTTTCACTGGTTTGTTTGGTATTTTTGTAGTTGTCAGTAAAGGAAGCAAAGCAGAAAGTCAACCTATCAAATCCCATTTTTTTCCAAACCAACTAACATTTTATTGGTAGAGAAGTCATTAACATTGGTTCTAAATTTCTGTCAATGTATGTGTATTGTAATGATGACTTACCCCGATTAAAAGGTTGCATTTCATGACTCCCAAAAGAGGATCTCTGATGTGTTTGTGGAGAAGCCTGGTCTGGAATGCCACTAGATCCATCTGTCACCTAATTTATACAACAAAGTTTACATGTGTATGCATAAATTTAGAAAAGGATAACATATGATAAATACATCATTTACCTGCAAACCACTAGAAGACTGTCTCTGTCTCATCAAAAATGCTACTTGCTCTTTTAAAGAGTTTATTACAGCATCTTGAGCTTACAACTGAATACCTTGAGTTTGCAATTGATCACTTTTGCGACATTTTGTGAACCACTGTCGGCTGCCACAAATAACAAGTAAGAAGGAATTATAAACAAAGATAAGCCTCTAATTTATCCAAACCAAAGAACATAACTGGCTTACAAATGTTGGTCAATCTATTTAGGAAACTATATTGTAAGCTTGCAAAGATTTCTAAAGCCTAAATTATTATTTTTTTAATATCATTCATAAGGTACATAAGTGATGGGAGAAATTGCTCTACTCAGCGGGTTAGAAAATCTAGGATAATAATAACAATTAAATTGAAAATGATCAAGCACAATAAACTCATTTTAATTTTTTCCCCCATTTTGTAATCACCCAACTGGCACAAGAAAATTAGAAATGATCCAACCCACTCTTACCATCAGCATGATTGGTGTATCCATAAGAATTTGAGCTAAGGAGATCAAACAAAACCCCATAAAGACCAAATGTGAAACAAAGTTGAACCTTGGAACCAGAAATGAGACCAAATGTCAAGCGAATTTCACACAGTGGCTGCTCTTAGCTCTGATCCAACCCACGTGTGTCACAATTAAATGTTAAAGCAACCAAATAATTACTAGATCCACATGATATTTTCGACATACTTCCAAAAAAGATAGTTTTCTACAAGTTAAAAGCAATATAAATGATCAATACCAGTGTCTATGTTCATCTCATTCCCCAATATCGCCATATTATGAAAAGGACTCAAGTTCTAAAACCAAATACTATCAGTCACTTCAAAATTCTCAGTTATTTGTAATTAGTTGCTAACTAGGAAACTCTTTCTAGAAACGATTCCAGAAACAGTTGGAAACAGTAGACACTAATGCCTTGTAGGTGACTACAAATCAAAAAAAAAAAAAAATCTCTATCAACAAATTTCAAGAAATAGTTGGTCCACTTGCTAAGAATAAAAAACTAAACACTTGTCATCTGTTCAAGTACATATGCTAAAACAACAAAAAACAAAAATTCTATGCAGTTACAGGAATAGTTTTTTTTTTCTTAGAGAACTTCCTGCGGAAGGATGAGAGAATATTAAAATATCTATGCAATGAAGAATTGCACATGGCATTGCTCATAAGCCTGTTTGTTGTTTATAACTTAATAACTTCCACCTTTGGTGTAAGCTTTCCTATATTCAGAAAATGCTAAAAGAAAATCAGTGCTTTAATAAAAGATTAATTAGCTCATTTTTGGGCTTCTGTTATCCATTTTTTTCTTTTTTCTTATTTCAGTAAAGTTAGATGAACTTGACTGTAACCTAAAAGTTTGTACATTGGATAGATTTAACTCCTAAAATGTTAAATCCAATGGAAAAACTTCACAGTAGCAAGAATGAAACAAATGCTAGAATACAAGTTGTCCCCAACTAGATTTAACTCCTAAAATGTGAAATCCAACGCAAACTGCAATGTGGAGCAATCAAATTCATGCCTCTGAGGGTGTTTAGGTGGAAATGTAGAGCTTTAAGTGTGTTCTATTCTGGGTTTTGGGGCTGCAACCTGATCTCCAATTGACCTATGATGGTAGCAGCTCTATTTTATTTCCCTATTTTTTGGTGGCTGCTGTTGGGTTTTGGGGCTGCAGCCTGTTTTTTGGTTGCAACCAGGACATGAAAAGTATGATCACATAAATCAATACGTTTTTTTAGTACTTCCTAGTTTAAAAACTCAGCCATAGAATAGAGTGAGACTTCACAAAGCATGCAATTTTGTTTCTAGAAGCTGTATATAATGGGACGAAAAAAGTTCTAAAACTCACCTCTCTCTATGGAAAACAAAAGGCTTAGAATGAAATCCAATTTAAGGTTAAGCTAGACTTTTTCGCATCTAACCAATGAAATTAAAGTCATTTTTGCTGATCTTCCCTAAGACAAGTGTGACCTTAACTATGTTAGCTAGCTACCTAGAACCACTTTATTGTGCATCTAACCAATGAAAGTAAAGTCATTTTGGGTTTGTATGATGGTTGCTAAACTAGTAAAAGGGTGAAATGTTTTACGGTTCTTCGTTATTTGTGTATTTGGATTCAACAAAAAAGGGGCATAATTCAATGTTGAATTTTCTCTAATCACATTATTAGGCCAAGAAAACTATACACGTGTACAAGCATTAAAATAATGGACATCAATTTTCTCAAAAATAAATAAATAAATAAATATAGAAACCAAAACAAAATGAAATATAACAATAAAGAAAAAGCTTGTTGTGGCATTTTATCAAATGCATACAGGACACATGAATGTGTGTAGCATCAACAACTAAAATACAAAAATTCAAAAACCCACATTTAAACCAACCAAATTGTAACATTCCAACAACAACTTAGTAACAATAACACTTAATCATCACACCATGATCTTCACATTCCAATTCCCAATACTGAATTGTTAATTATAGTAACAGAAATCACTACATAAAACACGAAACACAACCATATCAATCATAATAGTGGCTTGAAAGCAATTCTATGTTTGTATTAATGCCAATGATCCTAAAAAGGGAATTTTAACAACTAATATACAGAATCCAACAAACCCACATCTAAACCAACCTAATTGTAACAGTCCAACACCAACTTAGGCCTCGTTTGGGAACATGTTTTTTTAGTAACTTTTTGGCTTTTTAGCTAAAATATGATGTAAAAAAACTAGTATGTTTGGGATGATTTTTTGACTTTTTACAAAAAGATATGCAAAAAGAGAAAATGGAATCTTTGACTTTTTTATATAAGTTGTTGGTTTTTTATCTTTTTTAGTAACTTTTTAACTTTTTGACTAAAAAAGTCACTTGCCAAACGAGGCCTTAGTAACAATAAAACTTAATCATCACACTGTGATCTTCACATTCCAATTCTCAATAATGAATTGTTAATTAAAGTAAACAAAGCATATTGTAGGCATGAATAATCAAGGAGATCATATAGAATGATGAGAAAATTACCATGAAAGACGACAAAAGGAAGAGAATATGTGCTTGTTAGTGTACAGGTCAACGTGAAGATGATTAAAATTTTTGGAACTAGTTTAGAAGCCATTGATTATGGTAAAAGGAACACAAAAACCAAAGAAAACCCAAGATTTTAACATGAAATCATAGCAAAAATTTAGGGTTTTTATGGTCCCTGGAAGATTGGGAGTTGTATGAATTCTGGGTTGGGTTTATTTTGAAGCATACACGAGAAACACCGGTGGAGGATGAAATATATAGATTATTAATTTAACAACTAATATACAGAATCCAACAAACCCACATCTAAACCAACCTAATTGTAACAGTCCAACACCAACTTAGTAACAATAAAACTTAATCATCACACTGTGATCTTCACATTCCAATTCTCAATAATGAATTGTTAATTAAAGTAAACAAAGCATATTGTGGGCATGAATAATCAGGGAGATCATATAGAATGATGAGAAAATTACCATGAAAGACGACAAAAGGAAGAGAATATGTGCTTGTTAGTGTACAGGTCAACGTGAAGATGATTAAAATTTTTCGAACTAGTTTAGAAGCCATTGATTATGGTAAAAGGAACACAAAAACTAAAGAAAACCCAAGATTTTAACATGAAATCATAGTGAAAATTTATGGTTTTTGTGGTTCCTGGAAGACTGGGAGTTTTATGAATTATGAGTTGGGTTTATTTTGAAGCATACATGAGAAACAATGATGGAGGATGAAATATATAGATTATTAATTTATGGATTTGGTTGGTATGTCGGTACATGATGAAAGTGACTAGAGAGAGAGAGAGAGAGAGCCAATTGACCTGAAATCAGGAACCGTTAATGCATCGGTTGATACACCGATGGAGGATGAACCGTTGATACAGTAGTCGATACACCGGTGGGCTGTAGCTTGTGAAATCAGGAAGCCTCTGTGACTTCTTGGTGCTACTTTGTAAAAGTATAGATAGACTAGGGCACAAGAAGTATAGATAGATCGACTTAGAGTTGAATCCTTTTTTTTGGACTGAAATTTTGAGCGCTAAATTAGAACTTTTTTGGCGCCTTATTTGTTTGACCTATTGTAGCGGTTGAGTTGTAAACATAGCTAAAAATTACGTATAGCAACAGTTTAGAAAATAAATGTGACTAAAAACTTGAGTTTTAATTGCGGTTAAAGACCGTCACAATAACCACTTTATAGCTGCATTTTTTTAGGTGCTGCTATAAAAAACACTACTATAGCTGATTTTCTCGTAGTGATTATTTTTATAAAAAATCTATAAAAAAAATAATTTCTATATTTAAAAAATATCTAAAACAAATATAATTTTTTTTTTCAAATAACAAGTTGCAATTGCAAAAATAAATAAATAAATAAAAATAATAAAAAAATTGAATTGTTCCAATCAACTGGCCAGATGTCCAGGAGGATGTCTGGACAGACGACCAGGTAGACCCAATCCGCTTCAAAATTCAAAAAATTCCTTTTGAAACTCATCACCAAAAAAATTTTCAATTACTCAAAACTCAACTCACAATTCCACATTCAAATCACAACACCAAAAAAAGAATTACAATTCCAAAACTAAACCAAACTGAGCCTTAGATTTTAAAATTAAAGATGATAGTATTATTAAAATAAAGAAATGTGTACTGAGATTTTTTTTTTCATGTGTACGCCGAAACTGTATTCATTAAGTGCGTGGACGGAGAAGAATTGGTGTGTGAAAATAAAATTACGGTATTGTTGGATTTCATTGAGCCCACCACATGACTTACCTCAATGTTTGGAATCGTTTCTTGTGACTTTTTGAATAGATTATTCATTTAATAAATCAAATTGATTAGACAGTTACAATTATATGATCAATTACATTTGTTATAAAAAAATTGACAGAAAAGTATAATTTGTAGAATAGAACATACATTATTATGAGGCTCTTTCTTGTATTCATATAGTTATTTATATTGAGATAGCAGGTAGTATTAAGATTTTTTTATATAGTTGATGATTCAATTTGATATAATTTTTTTTATATAAAAAAATAATCTCTTGCTGTTTATGCCTACCAAACATTTGAATATATGTTTCCTGGCCAAAAATTTTAATTTGGCAACATCACCAAATGCCACCTAAAAAAAAATTTCACAATTTTTTTTGTTTTGTTTTTGTTTTTGTTGAGAAAATTATAAATCATTTTTAACTTATAAATTGACGGTTCTGGGTTAATTAATAACAAGAGTGCGACCTTTACTTTTTCATAATTTCCCTATTAATTGCCAAAGGCTTAGCACTATTCCATGTTTGGCTATTCCTGAAATAAATGCTACAACAAACCAATTTTTGTTGCCCAGTTGCATAAACTCACAAAAGATCTCATCTCTAACTAGGTAGATTAAGAAAGAGCATTTTAACTCCTACTTTCTCGAGATTTACTTCTAATGCTTCTTTCTTTTTTCATTTTTTTTTTTCAAAAATTTTCTTGAATGAGAGATTTGAAAGTGGAGAAGGATCTCAAATATGGAAACGAAATTAACAAGACAGATAATCTTAATTAGCATTTGTATCGTTCTATGTTTTATGGCCACTCTTTATACTTGGAGGGTGAGAAGACCCAACTTCAAAATCCAAGCAGTGAATTTGGGAGGTTGGCTGGTTGCTGAAAGATGGATCAAACCTTCTCTCTTTGATGGCATCCCCAACAAAGATTTCTTGGTTTGTAAACATATACTTATTACATATGTAAACACATATTATATATTTGCTCATATTTGCTTTAACGATAAGTTTAGGAACACATAACACATGAATTGTTAGAATTTTATTAGATTTGTTTGTGAAATTCTTGTCCATTTATATATTTTGTGTTTGATTACGAAACGTTTGTCACAAAATAATCCGTAAAACAAAAAATGAAAAATGAAACACAACCAGACATGCCCTTAATTTTCCAAACAAGCATTTCAGAAAGCTCACTGCATTCATCTTTGATGAGCATGCACTTTTCGGTGAAAATTTTCTGCTTTTGTGGCAATACTGTGAGTTCTCTTCACTTTTCAATCTAATTTTAGGAAATTTCATTTAGGATGGGACTAGCCTGCATTTAAAATCAGCAACAGTTGGAAAATACCTTTGCGCCGAATGGGGTGGAAGATCAATCATAGTAGCTAACCGGACTTATGCTACAATCTGGGAAACATTTAAAGTAAAAACCAATTATCCATTTCAATATATGATCATTCTCTATTTTCATCAGCATAATAACTTGTTTATCTGTTTTTGTTTTTTTGTTTTGTGAAGTTGTGGAGGATCAATGAGACCAGCTTTCAGTTTAGAGTGTACAACAAACAGTTCATGGGACTTGACACTGCTGGAAATGGGATTGATTTAGTTGCTGTTACGGACATGCCCGGCGGCAGATCAGAAACGTTTCAGATTGTTCGAAATTCTGATGATTTAAACCGCATTCGGATCAAAGCCTCCAATGGTTTCTTCTTACAGGTTCTGCTGTGTCATTTATTTATTTTTTTAAATGAAAAAAACTCTATTAATGCACAGAATTTATATAGAAAAAATGACAAGATTGATGTGGCATTATTTTTTGTTTTAAAAAAGTTCAATGACATACGACATGGAAACAGTTATATCAACATACGAAAGAGTCTTATAATAACAAATAAATAAATAAATAATTTTTGAAAAATGTGGATGAATATTAAACTCTTAACTTCTCAGTTGAGAGTATACCAGAATAGTCAACTAAATTAACTTAAATAGAAAATAAGTATAACTTTTGTTACCTTCTTTTATTTATTTATCTTTTCTCTCTCTATTTTTTTTCCCGACAAATTGAAGATTTCAACACAACTTTAATGAGTTAAAATAGAGAAGGGAAGAAGCAAACATAACAATTATTTTTTAGCATTACTCATTTGGAGGAATAATAATGTAATGTATGACCATTAAAATGCCGTTTAGATTATGGGTTTATAGGTAAAGACTGCAGATCTTGTGACAGCTGATTCTAAAGGAAATGGTAGTTGGGGAGATGATGATCCATCTGTTTTCATAATGTGGGTAAGTGGGAGATTCGATGGGGAGTATCAAGTGACAAATGGTTATGGTCCAACCAAGGCACCACAAGTTATGAGGGTAAGATGTTTCACTGTAAAAATTATTATTCGTTTTTTTTTTTTTTTGAACTAATTATTATTCACTTTTTCACAAATTGATTGAATTTGAATGAATACACAAATTATAGTTTGGATCTTATGTCATTTTAATCCCAAACTTTTTAATTGTGACATATTTGATCATGAATTTTGAATCTTATTCCAAATAAGAACAATTGAAGATACCATTGCTCAATTCCAAGGGCAAAGTTGTTGATTTGATAAAATATAAACTAATTTGACAAAAATAAATGTCAAAAAAATAGTTTTAAATTCTTAAAAATTATTTCTACTCACTAAAGATAAACTAGTTTTTAACATAAAAACCTATTTAAGGTTCAAAGAGAGAGAACTAAGAGCGAACATAAGCAGGGGGAAAAAAAACGATTGCGAGTAAAAAAAAAATATAATAAAGATAGTTGAGGTAGAAATAAACTAGCGGATAGAGGAAGAAATCATCACGAAGTGATACTGAAAGAAAACAATGACAGTAGAATGAATTGAGTATCGACGGGTAGCCAAGGTAAGGCTGCCGCCCACCAGTAAAGCGAAATTAATAGATACATAACTTAACTCTGATACTATGTTAAGATAATTGTATGGAGAGAGAAGAGAAAAGAGAATCTCTATATATTGAATAATGTTATCTATCTATCTATCTATCTATCTATCTATATAATCAAATGTAGTTGTTAGGTCAATAGACTTCAAAACTTGAATCTTAAATTCTCATAATTTTGAAAAAATATAATAAATTCGTGGCACTTCTCTTTACCACTCTTCTAACTATTGAAGTCTTCTCACTCTTTCTCCCAATTGTTATCTAAAAATATATTTTAAAAAATCAAATAATATCTTTTATCTACATATCTATATCCACAACTCTCATAAAAGATATTATTTGATTTTTTAAAATATTTTTTTAGATAACAATTGGGAGAAAGAGTGAGAAGACTTCAATGGAATAACACATTGAATATGTGTTTTGCTCGGTGAAACAAAATTAATAGATACATAACTTAACTCTGATACTATGTTAAGATAATTGTATGGAGAGAGAAGAGAAAAGAGAATCTCTATATATTGAATAATGGGCGAATTACACTAACGGTTCTTATAGTTTGGGTCTTATGTCATTTTAATCCCAAACTTTTTAATTATGACATATTTGATTATGAATTTTGAATCTTATTCCAAATAAGGACAATTGAAGATACCATTGCTCAATTTCAAGGGCAAAGTCATCGATTTGATAAAATATAAACTACTTTGACAAAAATAAATGTCAAAAAAATATTTTTAAATTTTTTAAAATTATTTCTACCCACAAAAGATAAACTAGTTTTTAACATAGGAACCTATTTAAGGTTCAAAGAGAGAGAACTAAGAGCGAACATAAGTAGGGGGGAAAAAAAAGATTGCGCGGAAAAAAAAAATATAATAAAGATAGTTGGGGTAGAAATAAACTAGCGGATAGAGGAAGAAATCACCACGAAGTGATACTGAAAGAAAACTATGGCAGCAGAATGAATTGAGTATCAACGGGTAGCCAAGGTAAGGCTACCGTCCGCCGGTGAAGCGAAATTAATAGATACATAACTTAACTCTGATACTATGTTAAGATAATTGTATGGAGAGAGAAGAGAAAAGAGAATCTCTATATATTGAATAATATATTATTGTTATATTGTGTATTGAACTATTAAAAGGGGTGGCACATATATAGGTAAAGTAAGAATGGGCACAAGAATAAAGAAACTATAGAAACATGACAACCTAACAAATATGAAAAATAATATATTTCAAATATTATTTAACAATTCTATCCTATCAATTATTTCTACATTAGGACAGAGAGACAGAGAGATCTGGCCCCAGAGAACACCTGGCCTCACTCCCCCACGACCTTCATTATATTAAAATAAAATAAATAGTACACTCCATTTGTTTAATTAGAAAATATTTTCTAAAAAGATCACAATTTTTAGCATTTGATATGACGAAATGGAAAACAATTACTGTATTAATCAAAAACGAGTTTATTTGAAAATAAATAAATAAATAAAATTGAGGAATTTGATATATGTATGTGTCTCAGGAGCACTGGAGTACATATATAGTTGAAGAAGACTTCAAGTTTGTGTCAAAAAATGGAATAAATGCAGTGAGAATACCAGTTGGGTGGTGGATAGCCAGTGGCCCAACACCTCCACAGCCTTATGTCGGTGGATCTTTACAATACTTGGACCATGCCTTCTTATGGGCACAGTATGTTTTTTATTTTATTTTTTGTTGTTCTTTGATCTTTACAATACTTGGACCATGCCTTCTTATGGGCACAGTATGTTTTTTATTTTATTTTTTGTTGTTCTTTCTTGTTTTTAATAAGGGCAAAAATAAGACTTGGTTTAGATTTATTGCAGGATACGTATAAACTTCACTAAATAATTTGGATTATACATTATTTTTTAAAATAAATTTATGTATATAAATTTTGGGCCAATCGGTATTATTATTTTAATAGAAGGGGCAGACATGACTCACGTATTAAGTTATTGAGGTTATCACCAAAGACTCACTAGAAATTTTTTTAAAAATTTTATTGTCAAAAGTTTCAACTTTTTTAAAAATTTAATTAAATAAAATCTCATTTTGATATTTAATCCGAGCTTTCTATAAACCTTTGGGTCGCTAGTGTAAAGGGGAAAGGGGGAGGCACAACTTTTAAATGGCCTGATTTTTAATGTTATGTTTGGATCATGGGTTTAGAGAGATATGAAAAGCAAAGGGAAATGAAGAAAACATAGAGAGATATCGTGGGTTTACAGATATTTCATTTATTTTGCCCTCCTCTTCTTCTTTTCTTTCCCTTTCTCTATCCAATTCTTTATTCAAATAATCCAAACACAACTAAAGGTCCACATGATGAAACCTTAATATTGGGTTTGGATCATTAATTTGATAAGATTCTCGAGATAAAGGAAAATGAGAAGGAAATAAATATATATATTCATTCACATTTGCCTTATACTTTTTTTTTCTTTCTAAATTATTATCTAAATTTATAATTCAAACACAACTTAAAAGCGCTATAGTTGTTTAGTATTTCCGTCTAGTAGTTCTAAAATAGTAGAATTTGAAAGACAACTGTTTTTTATTTCTTTTGGTGATAAAAATTAAATTTATACTGTTATAATTGAGATATAGTTTGTCAAATAATTATAAATGTGCCATGCGAAGATAAATCAAGTGAAAATCAATTTGATGAAAATAAATTAAGATAAATTAAATGTAAAGATAAAATTTACCCACAAGCACAAGTCCATTTATATGTAACTTATAAATTTGACTTAAATTAATCAATTGAAGCATTCTAAAATAATAATGGTTGAAAGGTGGATAATAATAAAAATAGCACTTAAAATACTAACTTTTTACTATTTTAGCATTGTAAATATTATACACTGCTCGAGCAGCTTGTAAAAAAAATAAAATAAATAATAATAATAATAAACAAATAAACAAATAAATAAAAATAAAATGCACTTCTATTGTATAAAATAACACAAAAAACTATTACACAATTAGAGATTCTTTTATATAGATGTCATTTACAAATTAAAAAAAGGAAAAAAAATATGTTTTAGTTTGATGTTCTTCTTTCAGAAAATATGGACTTAAGGTTATCATTGATCTACAAGCTGCACCAGGTTCTCAAAATGGATTCGAGCATAGCTCTACCAGGGATGGGTCTCAAGAATGGGGACAATCTGACCAAAATATACAAGAGACAGTTGCAATTATAGACTTTTTAACTGCCAGGTACAAATATGTATACCTCTATTATTTTATTCTGAGAGTTTGTGTTAGACTGTTTGATGCAACTTTTATTTACAACTTATTAGTCAAAAATAACTTAAATAAGCACACACAAAAAAAATGTTGATTATCTGAAGGCTGAGGTAACGGTACTTTTGGTTTCTGTTTTCTGATTATCAACTTTTATTTATGATAAGCTGCATTAAATAGGCCCCTTCTTGTAATAATCTATCGGCCTAGATTTAAAGTAGAACGACAACGAAACCATTATAGGGAGTGTAATTTAAAAATAAAAATAAAAAATATGTGATGCTTTGTTGTCATTTTATTTCATTTTTCAATTTCAACCATTATATTAAGGACTTTGCTCACGTACCTTATTATTGAAAAAGAACATAGCAAGATCCTTGTATTGCACTTTGGAACCATCAGGATAGCAGTAAATAGTGTAGTTAATGATATATACAAAAAAATATATATATAAAATGATGTGACAGATTTGTGAATTTATAACTTCAAAACAAGAAATCCATCAAATTAAAAAAGCATTTTGATAATTTTTTTTTTGTTAATTCTGTATAAAAGTTATGGAAGAATACCACTTTCATGTAGAAATAATTTATCTCTCACTTGTAGTTTATGATTAAAAAAAAAATCTAATTTGCACAAAATTCATTCACAAAACCTAACACTGCCCTTAACACATAATATATGGGATGTATTAAACATGTAGTCCCATTCTAACATGAAAGGGTTATGATCAGATTTTGTAAATATAGAAGTGATTTTTGATTGTTATATACTCACATAGGTATGCTGATAATCCAAGCCTCTATGCGGTCGAGCTGTTGAATGAGCCTCTCTCACCTAAAGCATCTCTAGATAGCCTAATCAAGTACTATAAAGCTGGTTATGAAGCTATTAGAAAACACTCCAAAACGACTTATGTAATTCTGGCAAACCGGTTTGGACCGGCCGATCCAAAGGAGTTCTTTCCTCTTGCTAGTGGCTTAGATGACAAAGTGGTGATTGATGTGCATTACTACAACAACTTCAATTATACATTCTATGGTATGAATGTCAAAGAAAACATTGACTTCATCTACAGCTATCGATCATCACAGTTGAGTGAAGTCACTACATCAGATGGGCCTCTCACTTTTGTTGGTATGTTCCAAATTTTTGTTTTTAGGGTGGGGCTTGGTGCAATGATAAGGTTGTTTTCATTGCAACCTAGGCGTTATGTGTTCAAATCATAAAATAAAATAAATAAAATCTCTCCACATAAATCAGGTTGCAAATGAATCGATTGTTAATAAACAAACTCAATTCATTTGCTAAATGAACGAGCTTGAATTAATTTTAAAGCTTGTTTAGTAGTTGACTAGATGTTAAATAGACCAAAATTTGGCTCAAATAGGCTCATGAACACAATATTATATAAATTAACCTTTATTTTTAATAATTTATCAAAAAAATATTTTCATTAATTTATTTTATTTTACTTTTTCTTTATGTTTGGTGTTTTTACAAACTTATATGTATGAAACTTATATTTCATTCATAATTTTGTTTTTTTCTCTTATGCTGTGTTTGGTTTTGGGGATTTGAGGAGAGATTTAGAAAGAGAAAGAGAAAAGTTAGGTGAAATATGAATAAAATATACCTACATTTCACATAGTTTCACACACCTTTTCCATTTCCCTTTCCAAATCCCTCTCTAAATCCTCCAACAAAACACAACATTAATGTGGATATTAATTTAAGTATGATTATTCATTTCAAACTTGAGCTTGAGCTAGGCTCCAGTTTGTGTTTGATTTAACTTGGGAAAAGCTCTTGTTTCTTAAATATTGGACAAATCTAATTCTTACTTGTCTAATTTTTATCGAATCGAATTCAAACATCACAGAGTTCAACTTGTCTTAAATCATTTAAAACTCCTTTACACACACAAAAAAATAAGATTGCATACATATGATTTTTTCCTGCAGTGGCGGGAGTCTTATTCACTATCACTGCCTTTTACTTAATTTTTGCAATTTATGTGAATTGAACTCTTTTTTTTTTTTTTATTTATCATTTTCTAAAAAAATATTGAACCCGGTTTGAATTGGCAGGGGAATGGGCAGGGGAATGGGCTCATTTTCTCTCCGTAAACAAAGAAGATTACCAAAAGTATGCAGAGGCCCAATTAGAGGTTTATGGTCGGGCTACGTTTGGGTGGGCTTACTGGACTCTGAAGAATGTGAACAAGGCTTGGAGTTTAGAATGGATGATCAAGAATGGTTACATCAAGCTATAATCCAGTTTCCTATCTTTAAAAATGTATATATTTAAAAAAAATAAAAATAAAATATGCTTTAATCAATTTTGTGGTGCTTGTTAAGGAAAATTAGAAAGACCCAGAACTTGGGTCAAGAAAAATATATCCAAAAAATAAATGGATGGTTGAGATTTAATTTTGTATTGTGATATCCACTCATAAATTGAATCTCAACCATAGATTAATAATTCTAAGTCCAACTATGAATTTATAGTATAACTGACTTGTTAATCTCTTTTATCCCAGTTGTGAACATTTTTACCTCTTTAGTTTTCTCTATTCAAATGGCCAATAAGCTTTCCAATGAAAGAAGATCATACAATTTTACTCATGATTCCATTTAGAACTAAGCAATCACAAAATTGTGTGTGTGTGTGTTTTTCCAGCTAGACAAAATGTGTTTGATTTCACTGTTTCCTTTTCATTGAAAAATATTGGAAATGATGCTTTTAAATTTTACTTTTTGATTGTTAATTTAGGTAAATTACACTATTGGTTCCTTTAATTTGAGTAAAGTTTTATTTTGTTTCTTCTAGTTTCAATTTAAGCAATTTAAACCATATACTTTCAATTTTATTACAATGTGATCCTTTCATCATTCATTGGTAATATTTTGAAAGGAAAAAAATCACTTTCAAAATTAGAGTGATCAATGTAAAATTTAAAAGAAACTATAATTACATTAGCTGTTTGAATTTTATTTTGATCTCTCTAAGTTTGCAAGTGATCTTTTCCCATTTCAAATTTTTACACCAGGGACCATATTGCAACAAAATTAAAAATATAAGGATTAAATTATTCATTAGAATGACAGAAATTAAAGTTACACTTCTCTAAATAACATATACTAATGACATAATTGAACTTATTAATTTTCTACTTATAGAAAAATATTCAATTGTGTTCATTATTGTTGGTTGAAACTGACTGTGAAGTCCTTTCTTTCTGCGGCTGCCCTTCATGAAGATGAAGAAGAAGTGGGAAGAAATGGAAGGTTGAAAGTGGAAAGTGAAGGGCTTTTAGATTAAGTTTGGCAACTCTTAAAAAATTTAAAAAGTCAAAAAGTCACTATCCTATTTAAATTATATCATCTTATTTAAGTCACATCACCTCTCTAACACATCACTTCAAATTCAACCCAAACTCAACTTATATTTCATAAAAAAATCAAAAAATACACTTATTTAATCTTTCCAAACTTGGCCTAAGTCTTTTCCATGTTTTAATTTTAGCCACTGATGACGTGTTTTTGTACCTTTTTAACCCCAAGACAAAAGAGACCAAGGGACATACTCAAGTGGAGAGGACTACCCCATGACACAAGCAGGGTGGAGCCTTTCTGCGACATATATGATTGTGTTTTTTATTTATTATTTATTTATTGGTCTATTCCCATGTCGTTGGCAAACACCAATTAATTCATTTCAAACTCTACTCGAGTATTGTCTACGCGGAGTTTTAAAATAACCACCCAACGAAAAACTTTATGAGTAACATATTTTCATTCATTTTTATTGGGCAGTTAAGAAAGAAAAAATAATCAATTTAAAATAAGTTTGGAGTAACTTTTTATTTATTATTGTTTTTTATTTTTTATTTGTTGAGACTGTAGAGGAATAAAAATTAATCCATGTAAAGTAAGTTCACTCAATACCTACATAGAATAAAGATTAAAGTAATAAAATAAATAATTTCCAATGCAAGGAACAATCTTCTGTGTAAATAAAATAACTTGAAATAAATTCAAACAAAATAAATAAATAACATACCAGATTTATTTATCGAACCGAATTAAAATTATGACCAAGTCGAGTGTGTGACACTCTGTCCTTAAGACAGATTCGCCCCGCTACGGTACTTACGGTTAAGTGGCGTCTATCTCCCAGGATACAATGATCTACACAAATTGTAGTAGTACTCCAAACAATTTATTCGGCGAACCAAACCTTGTGTTCTAACTCTCTGAATATTAGTCCTAAAAATATAAATGAAGAATAATGCACTTAAAAACCGAACGGCAAAACAAATTTCTTAGACTGGTTTATTTTTCCCGACCCTTGAATGCTGGAATCATGGCACTATATATAGGCAAAAATCCTTAGCCATGAAAATGTGCAAACCCAAGTGAACAGATGCCATATATATTTCAAACCATTTGTCAGACCGTTGGCACAAAGAAAACCAATGGTCAAACAATTTCAAAAGTTGACCGTTAGGAACTTCTCAACCTGTTAGTAGCACTTATCACCTGTTGGAACTTAATTTAAATAAACTATTTGAATATATATATATATATATATTAAACTATTGAATAGTTTAATAAATAAAGTAAGAGGTATAAATTTTAGGAAACCACTTAAGGAATCTAAAATTTAAATTTAGAATTAAATTAAATTCTAAAATTACACATTTTAAGAAACCACTTAGGAACTCAAAATTTGAATTTAGAATTAAATTAAATTCCCACAATAATTTATTGAAAAAATTCAAAAGAATTTTATCTAAAAAATTAATGTTAAACCCGAAAACGACGTCATCTTCCCATTCACTCATAAATGGTTTTGACGTTCCATCTTCACCACTTCACCTCTTCGGACCCACCCCAAAAGACGTTTGGGGTCCACCCAAATTGAGTTAAAAAATATGCCTATATAAAACCATTTTTTCCAATAACTTGTCAACTTGCTAACTTGCTCTAACATACATATATCAGACGAGTTTTGAACTATACAAGTGACTTATTTTCATTGGACCAAATTGGTGGCTTAACCTCATCAGACAAAATGAGTGACAGGCTGGCCTATATAAAGGAATATATGCGGAGGAGGAGGTATGCCTAAAAAATTTTATTTACTTATTTAGTTTTCATTTAGATATATGCTATCTAACTTGATTGTCGAAGTGTCCTCCAACTAATAACCGCTGATTGGGAGACATTAACCGTTTATTTTTTTTGTAGATTTGCAACAGTGCAGCCCAATTCTTTGTTAGTCTCTTAATTTCTACTTCCATAGAGACTATTGTGTTTTTAAAGTTGTTAAAATATATATATTTGTGAGTGAAAAAATTGATATGGTTTTTAATTTTTTCAAGCTGATGACAAACGAGTGAGCATTTTTAACCAAGGTGTGAGTACTTTTTTAGTCGATGGTCTCACATCCATATCAGTATTTTTGTGTTTTTAAAATAAGATAAATTACAAATACATCTCTTGAGATTTGTTTAAAGTATAGATTGTCTTTTGTTATTTGAAAAATTATAAATACCCTATCGTCGGATTTTTTTTATTTAACAAAATTATTTAAAAATATAAAATTCATGATTGTTATTCTATACAATAATAAAATTACTTAAATTATTAATTAAAATATATTTATAACATCATTAAAAATTATTAATTGACTTGATGATTTACTAATAAAATAGGTGATTTGTTATAAAATTAGAAATCTCAAGAGTAGAATGTAATTTTCAAAACTATAGAAACGATTCGTATTTTAATCAAATATCAGAAGGTGTATGTGTAATTTACTGTTTAAAATACTATTATCACATTACTTTTTAGGGTATCAAAATATTTATTATCCCAATACCCTTTACACATATCTTAAAATACTTTTATATATATATTTTACATATATTTTAATACATTTTTTTTAATATATTTTCTAACACTAACAACAACCTTAAAAATTGTTTTAAGCATTTTCCTATTTTTCAAATGAGTTCTTATTTATAAATTATTCTCTAAAAATTGTTTCTGCTATCTCGGGGGTATATATATACCTCATATACAAACGTCTATCTCATAATTGTGTATATACAAAAGAATAATACTAGGAATTTTAAAAAAATTATCAAATATTATATATAATTTTACATGAGACTCACATCCATGTAAGTCTTGAATAGATTATTTGACAATTCTTTTAAAATTTCTAACATTTCATATACAAAATATGGTATACAATTTACGTCCACCAAAATATGAAAATGTGTGATAGAAGGATGAAGATCGTTTAAAGCACCTTTAGAATAAAATAAAAAAAGCATTCGACAAATGTATACGTAATGGTTTCCGGTTGAGATATTCAATATTTATGTTTAGTTTACAAAGATCAACCAAAATATTTATATTTAATTTACAAGATCAACCAAATTATTTATGAGTCCGTTGGAATGATAAGTTGCTCATGCTTTGAGGTTAACTTAACTTTCGATAATGCATAAAGTGAAATTTTCAATCAAATGCTTTTCTTATATTTAAATAACATTTATTTATTTTTATATTGTAAATTGTTTGCTTAATATTCACATTAGACTCTGGGAAGGGGCTAATGGCTTGTTTGCTAATTTATTTTGAGTCATATCATCTCTCTAGTTTTTTTATATGTTTTTTAAATAAAAAAAAAATCAAAATGTTAGTTTTTAACTAACTTTTCAAAAAGTTGCTATAAAGTATCACATCACTCTATTTATTTTTTTGTACACCTTTTTATAAAAAGTTAAAAACCAATTAAAATAATCAATTCTCAAACGAACCATTTGATTTTTATAGCTAAAATTGTTTGGGTTTTATTTGCTGACCTTATTATTAGGGGCTTACAATAATGAATTTTTTTAATTGTGTTTTTTAATAAGAATTTATTTTATTTTTTGTTTTTGCTTTTAGATAAGGAGAGTTTTTTTTTATTATTATTATCCTTTGTGTTTAAGAGTCATTAAACATAAAGGTTTTTCTTAACGGTTTACAGATTTTTAATGGGTTATTGGAATATGAGTTTTTTTTTTTTTTTTTTGGGGGGTCCAATTTAGAATTGAAGGCTTTTGGACAAAGAGGTTTTTGGTGTTTTGGTTAAGTCTTTACATAAAAATTTTTTTAGGGCTTTAAACAAATAAAGTATTTTTTGGTCGGGCCTATTGAAAAGTATTTTTTCAAGAGTAAACCACATTATTCTTTCTTGAAATTTTAAAAAACTGGCTCATAATTTTGACATAATTATATAAATTTCTTTTTTAA